CTCATGAGTAGGTAATATTTGAAGAAGTCCATAAGGTCGATGACAAGGAGTTTTTTACCTTGAATAAATATCATATGACTGAACAAAGTCTTTTATAGCCTTCCACATTTGCAGCCACCAAAAATCTTTAGATATTAATTCCAAAGTCTTATTGTATTCAAAATATCTTATTACTGAAAAGTTGTGATGTGCTTGAAAAATATATAAATATGCTTCTATTTTTGGAACATATAAGCATCCTTCAAAATAAAATAAGTTATTCTTGAATTCAAACTTGGAAGTATCACAAGACTTAGCAAAAGTATTCTTGATATCATGAACAAGAGGATTAGAAGACATATTTGATTGAATTTGCTTAAGAAAAGTTGAATCAACAATTAATATTAATTTCACTACTCAAAGATGAAATTATTTTGACTTCAATGAAATTGACTTTTGTTGAACAAAAGTTACATCTCCTTCGTTTGGTGCAAGATAAGAATATCTAGAAACTACATTGGACAAACTTTGTTGTTTTTTTGGCTAATAAAAGATTTTCAACTCAAATCTTGACAAAAATATGCTCCAACAAGTTTGGCAATAATTCAAAATACATGTTGATATGAAATACTCATGGTTCTTATAATCAATGTATACAATGACTAGATTGGAAGTGCCTTCTAGATAATAATGCCATTCTTCAAAAGAATCAACAATTGCAAGAAGTTCTTTGTTGTAGATCTCATAGTTAATCTCAGCTGTTGAGAATTTTTGTGAATGGAATGTTATTAGGTGGAGCTTGTCATTTTCTCTTATTTTTGACAAAATAATATGCATAGAAAAATCAAATGCATCTATTTCCATAAAAAATGTCTTTGAAAAGTTGGCATGATACATGATTGGTGCAAAAATAAATATTGAATTTAAGACTTCACAAGATGCTTCAGCTTTTTTGCTCCAATCAAGTTTGTTTTTGCATGTAAGACATATAAGAGGAACTGCATCTTGAAAAAAAATCTTGATGAAGATCTAATAGTAATTAGCAAAGCTGAAAAAGCATTGCACATCTCTTATTGTTTTTAAAATCTTCTAATCTATGATAGTTTGAACCTTATTTAGATCCATCATAAGTCTTTTGTTGAAAATAATATATCTTAAGAAGTCAATTTGAGTAGTCTAGAATATATACTTGGCATACAATCTTGCATCTCAAAGTTTTTGTTATACATGACAAACATGAATTTCATGTTTTTTTTTATTTTTAATATAGATCAAAATATAGTCTAAATAATAGATGATAAAATCATTTAGAAACTCATGAAAAAAATCATTTATAAGATGTTGAAAAACACTTGGTGCATTCTTAAGTCCAAAAAGCATACATTATATTCAAAGTGTTCATACCTTGTTTGAAATACGGACTTCCATTTATCTCCTTCTTTAATGCGGATTAAATTATATGCTCCTTATAAATCTATTTTTGTATAGATCTTAGCTTCATTTAATTGATCAAAAAGTCGAGATATCAAGAATAAAGGGTCTTATTTTTTATGGTAATCTTCTTGAATCCTTGATAATATATGCACATTTGTAATGATCTATCTTTTTTTTTCACAAATAAGATAGGAACTCCAATAGGGGATTTTGAATAGTGTATGAAATTCTTGGCAAAGTTCTTATCAATATATTCTTTGAATTTAGTCATTATTTTGTGATAAACTGTAGATTAGACCAAATGGTGGTTGACTTCCTTCTTTAAGGTTAATTCAGTAATCATATGGACAATGCTCTGAGAGAATATTTGCATTTTTTTTTTTTTTCATAAACATCTTGAAATTCTTAATATTAACTTGAAATTTCACTTGAAGTCTTTTTATCATTAAAAATAGATGTGGCATAAATAACAAAAGATAATCTTTCTTTTGTAGCAAATAAGAAAGCATTTGCACCTACGAGTAAGGGTTTGGCTATATTAGATTCATGGCTTTTCATTAAACTCTTAATAATACTCTGAAGAAAGTCAAGTTTACAAGAAATCAAATCTATCAGAGAATTATACTTTTTTACTATGATAAACCTAAAATGACCAAATTAAATTGAGACCTAATTATATTAAAAATTATTCAACTATTATGACCATTTATTACTACATCTATAAGAAGTCTTTCATGAATAATATCTCTAGAAGATAACGGACAGCTATCTATGACTTCGGCCATCATATACTGGTTTAGTTTTTTGTATTAACGATATTCTATGGCTTTTAACAAAATCTTCATCTAAGAAACAAGCTGAGACTCCTAAATCTATTAAGGTAGAGGTTTTGTAATTATTAGGTCTTAAATACATATCTAATATAAATCAAAGAAAGGATTCTAAAGAGAGGATAGGATCTTCATTTGCACAAGATTTTAATTACACGGTCCCTATTGTAGCTCGACAAATTTGTTTTCTGGCATTTTTTCATCTTTGATAGTTGTATTCTTCATTTTGTAGTTGCATCGTTTCTTTAGACAATGTTAAGTAGTGTACTTAGCTTCTCCACAATATAAACATAATCCTTCTTTGTAACGATAAGTTTTTTCTTATTCAATAAGAAGTTTAAAATATATTGTATTAATTTGTATGTCTTCTTATTTCAAATGTTTAGATTGAGAAGTCATTGGTAATGTCATTGAACTATAATAATGTGCATATTTTCTTACATGATTCTTAGATTAAAACTCAAAAAGTTGATTGTCACACTTCACAACAAAGTCAATTTTTTGATTCAATGTCTTAGGATCAGATAAGTTGAGGATCAATTTCTTTACCTCATATTGTAATCCATAGAGAAATCGGCTGATAAGAGCATATTATCCCATTTGATATTAGTCGTCGGTTGTCAAAATTGTGAAGCATATGATGTCACTAATTGATTGCATGTTGCAACAAATAGATCTTATAAATTGCAACATGAATTGCATCATGTTCTCTATACATAGATCAAAACTCCGCCAAAAAAGCCTCCAGAGTATCCAATATTGGATCTCATCATTCAAAAAAAGATAAAAACTATGATAATGCCAAACCTAGAAAGAAATGTACTTTTTTTGTGAACCCGAGGTTGAATAGCTTTGAAATTGAAATTCAATTTCAAATTGTACTTGGTTGATAAATCTTCAAAACTTAGATCTTCTACCATCAAACTTCTGAGGTAGGCAACTCTGAATTTTCTAACATTAAAAAGGTGTTCTATTACAGAAAAAAAAAAATGTGATTCAATGTAGATGTTGAAGCGGTTCCAATCATGTTTATATCTTCACTTCCTCCCATTTTTGTTGCTCTTAGTGGCGATAAACTGAGTTGATGCATTGCAAGCATCAATTCTCTCAATTACAATTATATTTGTGCCATTGGACTCTTCATTTCAAGAAGCTTTGTTATGATAACATTTAGAAAAAAAAAATGTCTAATATCACTTAAGATAAGTCGAAGAGAGGACTTAAAAATAAATAAAATATTAACAACAATATTAGTTTAGAAGAAGGTAATCTGCAACTTCTAATATGTTTATGTCTCATCAAGAGAAAGGATGATCTACTCTTAATCAAGAAAAGACAAAGTTATAACATTGTAAGTGCACTCTTGTCAATTTCTCAAAGACATGAATTAAAAGAAGATGCATAAACCTGGGAAATCTGTATCAAAAGAAAAGTGACAAAAATAAAAATAAAAAAGTATGTATATTAAAAAGAAACTGAAATAGCTATTGCCAAAAGACAAAGAAATTAGAGATTCTTAAAACTAGACTAGAAATAAGAAAGGAATTGATAAGAGTGAAGAATGCTTCACTTTGCCTCTATATATACTATCTACATGGGATCTATGTGGCGACATTCTGTAGGACCTCCAAAAACGTGTTGACTTTGCATGACATGTATCTTGACTTGCAAGGCAAGTTTTATATATGGGCGCCACATAGTTAGCTTGTTTTGCAAGCTACCAACACATGTGGCACATGGGTAACTTGTTGACCAAGTTTTTAACCTACCAATTAACTACAAACATATGTAAAGTCAAAATAATATCTAAGAAGCTTCTGAGAAGCTGCTCTAGAAGGTATTATGAAATTAACCTACTTTTACCTAATTCTATCTATTCATTTTATCTAGGTATTAATTATAATAGATATATATATCCGTAACAATAGTTTTTTTTTTTTTTTTATTGTATTTCAGCAACTTATTTAAAAATAATACTATTGAAGCAAAGTAAGCAATTTTAATATTAGTATATACATATATATATATATATATATATATATATATATAACATTTGACTATTCCAATAAATCATTTGATTAATATAATATGTACTATATCAAATTGATTATGACTATTAATCATTTATTTAATTATTTAGAAAGATTAATTTAACTAAATTTAGAATACACACACAATAAAGGTTTAAATTCTTAGGAATAATTTAAAAGTTGTTTCTATGTGTAAGGAGAATGAAATAAAATTTTCTCATGTTTTAGATTTTGATTAAAATATTTAGATGCTAAACATTGCACAATATAGTTTTTAAACTTTTGATTTTATTTAAATGTAGCAATCCAGTTTAGTACTTCATGGTGTTTACATTGCAATAGTTGATATTCCCTAATATTTTTCATCTCCGTCCGTCTCTGCATGGTGCAGACTTGAGAGGGCAGGTAATACCACACACAATTCATATTTAAGAATATGCATTACCTCAACTTTCCCTAAGAAAAAGATATTTCATTTTCTTTTCCTGGCATTAAAATTACAATTTCGAGAGTTAATTGCAGCCTTTATCAAATGGTGTGTTTCCATCAGATGTCAAAACGAATCTGTTATAAAATCGAACTGGAAACAGTATTAGGAAACATAAACAGCATCTCACGTGGAAAATTCAGCACACAAATCTGTTTCTGTACATTTAAGTACTGAATATTATTGCCATGAGTACCGATATGGGCTAGCCATGGTGAGGCTTGTCAACCAGGGATCAAATGTAAGGAAATCAAACTGCAATAACATTATTCATTTGCCCACATAATGAATCGCCTTCAGGATTCAAGCATTAGACTTCTATAGCTTAGGACAGTGAAGTCACAACAGAACTCCCAGTTTCCTACGATACAATGACAAGAATGTAGGCTGTTCTCCACAAAACCTCATCTACGAATTCATCCATGAAGGAATAAACGATATTGGTCATTCTTCGGAAGAGATTCCAGAAGAATACACTAGAGGCTAAAGACTATCATGTAATTCACACGAAGATGGCAAGAGTTCAAAATTTTCAGGATAAAACTTGGTAGAAGAGTAAGCTGGCATTCTAATAAGGCCATTAATTAATCTGCATTTGGCATCGGAAAGAATTTGACAATGTAACAAGGGCAAGTAACCTAAGAAGCTGCTAACCTAGGGGAATGGCAAAGATGTGACCTAATCCAAGAAAGATTCGAGAGAGCAGAGACTTGCCATTGAGTTATGGACTAGGCGAAATTCCTTGCAAAACATCTTCTATCTGAACGAATTCTTGTCACGCCTTACTTGATGCTGCACTTGGCGCCGGCAGCCTCCAAGGCCTTCTTGGCTTCCTCAGCGTCCTCTTTACTAATTCCCTCCTTCACATTCTTCGGCAAGCCTTCAATCATGTCCTTCGCCTCCTTCAATCCCAGAGAAGTCAAGGTCCTGACGGCCTTGATGACAGCAATCCTAGCGGACGAGGGAACCTCCTCCATGACCAAGTTGAATTCGGTCTTCTCTTCCACAGCAGCGGCGGCTTGATCACCACCACCGCCAGCAGCGGGCGCAGCGGCGCCAGGCGCGAACGACATAGCAGTGATGCCGAGGTCCTCCTGCAGCCGGTCGGTGAAGATCTTGGCGTCAGCCAGAGTCATCCCCTTCACCTTCTCCAAAAGTTCTTCCAATTCGGCAGTGGCCATGGCCGCTCTAGCCACCAACGACCTCTTCTGATACTTGGAGCGCAAACACACGGGCGAAGAGGCTGCCAATTGTAACCTAGCAGAAGCGACATTGTCGCCAATTCTAGCAACGGAGCTGGAAGCGGCAAGACTGCCAGGATTACTCACCAAGGAAGCTTGAGCCATGGCTGCCATTGCAATTGCGACCAGGGCAGTGCGAGGCGAAGCGACGAAGGGGACCGATTCCTGCAGCAACAGCGGAGAGCGAGTAGTAGTAGAGAGTAGTACCAATTGAGACGCAGAGAAGGTAGCGCAGCAAGGAAATAGTGCGGGCCAGGGGACGCAGCGATGGAATCGTGAGGCTGTTGCTGCGCAATCTAATATCCCAACAGCAGAGCACCATTATCCACTTCACTCCCCCCCCCAGTTCCAAGTTCCCCCTCCTCGTTCCACTGACGCTGTTCCCCTTCTCGTTCACCCAAATTTCACCATCACTTTCGTAATTTCCAATATATATATATATATATATATATATATATTTTACATGTGAAGAATTATATAAAAAAATATAATATAATATGATATACATGTAAATAATTTATTAATGGTTGATGATTTTAAATTTTTATTTTGTAAGTTTTGAATTCATGTGGTTGTGGTTAAAATTTGTAATTTTTATAATATGTATTGTTTTCAAAGGAAGACATGTAAAAATAAGAATATTCTCTACTTTTTTTTTTTTGAAGACTAGCTGTATTAATATTTGTTGTAATAAAACTTTCATACAATGTTACCACAATCATAATCATGAATTTTCTAGTTTTAAAATTATCAAAATGTCTTTTTAAATAAAATTTATATCTATAGTGTCATATATAAATAAGAAGTCTTTGAAAAGTTTAAAATAAATTTTAAATAAATTTAAAAATAAAGTCAAAACTAAGTTATATCACAAATATTTGTACTGATTAACAAATATAGAAAAAGAATAAGTAGAAAAAATATTTAAAAGATAATATTACCATTGAGTTACATCAAGAGATCTTTTAAAAAATAAAATGGATGTTTAATTACTCTATATGGCTATAATGCTTTGCCTACAAAAGTTTTTACTTTTATTAAACCACTTTAAAAATATCTTAGAACTTGGACTCTTAGTCTACAAGCCTTTGTGGTTTTTAAAGGACCTTTTTAAGATCTTCTTGCTAGGTAGTATATATAAAAGCAAAATTAAACAATATGAACACAAATATTTATGCTTAGACATGTTACTTATCAAATTTCAAAGAAGAATGATAATTCTAAAATTAAAATCTCAAATATAATAGAATACATTATGTTAGATAATAAGTTTGTCCAATTATAATCGGGCTAGCAACTATTGATGATTGTATAATATTATCTTTCAGAGATCTTGAAGCATTATTTTACTATTGATATTATTTTAAAATATAGATTTGTGTAGAACCTAAAAATTTTATAGTTTTCGTCTTTCTCAAATTTCAAAGCCTTTATCTATTTTTTGGTAACTTGTTGAATATTAAACACAAAATCTTCTAATAAATAGATTTAGAATTCATTAAAAGCTAACTTGCGTCATCAACTTATAATAAAAAGTAGTTGTATAAGATCATAATATATATAGATATAGATATATAATTTTTAAATTATTTAATCTCTAATAAATTTTATTATTTTAGACTTATGATAATTTAAAAAAATGCATAATCATCAAATATATTAGATGTCTTATATTTATTATTTTTTATTTAATTACTTTAAAATTAAAATAAATTTTTGTATCTTATAACTTAAAAAATGAAAGTTTTATTTTTTGTATTGAATATATTTATGAAATTTGCAAAAGAAAAAGATTAATTTATTATTTATGCAAGATCCAACTTCTAATCTAATAAATATTGTAATAGTAAAAAATAAATTATAAAAAACTTCTCAAATGTATGTGAAGAATAAAATGGAGATATTTTATATAAAGATCATATTTAAATTTTTTAAATTGATTTAAAGAAGTATTTAAGCTACAAAATAGACCAAAATCTAATTCTTCACAAAAAATAAAAAAGTAAAAAGTAAAAAACTCTTACAGAATGTGTTCATTGAAATATTAAAAAGAATGTCATTTAACAATCAAATGTTTTTGTAGGTGGACCAATCTTCCTTTTATAGGAAATAATGTAGCTCCTTGCAAATATGTAAAATTATTGTCACCTAATAAAATTGACTTCAAAAAATTATTATGCTTAACATTATAAAATTGATCTCTTTGTCTAACTATATTTAGTTGATTTTAAAAATAAAGTAGATAATTTATGAGCATATAAACTGATTTTTATTAAGATTAACATAAATTGAAAACTTTATTTTTTAAACTAATTTTATTAAGAAGAAGATGAACTAAAAAAAAACATTTACATACTTATATATACAACATTTTTCTTTTCAAAAATTACAAAAGAATGGAGAAATTATATATTTAAGTTACTACACAAGCTTTAATTTATCTTTTTATTATGTTTTAATATGATAAATAAATTATATTTTATATATTATTAAGATTAAGTGTAATACTACATATTAATACTTATGAACATGATGTCCTTGATTTATGTAGAAATGTTTTTGATTTTTTTAAAAAAGACAATAGCATTAATAAATATATTTTTGTTGTTTTAATTATTTATATAATATAATTTATTGTATTAAATTCATAGTTTCCTCAATTGTTTAAAAGAATCCTACTCTTAATGTTATTGACCTGTAATTTATTATTTCAACTTGCTCCAAAATCCTCAATCCTATATTTAGTTTAACTGGAATCAAGACATTAAAAATGGTTTGTGAAAATTATTAAATAAAAAATTATTCCAAATTATTACCAAAACAAAATTGAGATATCTATCAAATTACAAGTGAATACTCTTTATTAATATAATTTACTATTAGAAAAAAAATCTTATAAATGAAACCAGATCAATAGGGAAAAGAAAAAAGAAAAAAGAAAAACAAAACAAAAAAAATACACAAAAACAATAAAATTGGCTAATCTACAGCCCTCAACAAATGAATGCTACCATTTGAAAGATGGTAAATTAATCTTCTTTTACAATATGACCAAAATCTAACGCAATGTTGGTAATCTAGCCAAACTTTCAAAGATCCAACAATTTGACAAAAATTCATGTAGCATTGAATGACTATGTTATATGAATAAAATTAATAATGAGACCACATGACGAATTATTATACACATTGTCTCCACAAGATGTCCCTCAATCTTAGCTCTCATTTATATTTAGAGAACTAAGTCTCATAAATTCTCTGTGGACTGTTGTGCAAGGTCAGAGCAAGTCTTATGTTGGTAGCTTAATTATGATAATAACAGAATTTGCATTGAATGTCCTTCCTTAGCTCTGGAAGTCATGTGTTAAAAATAAACTACAGAGGTGTTTAATAGACAATGCAATGATGATTCCAGGTGTAAATGATGTAACTTAAACTTACACAACTTATTTGAATTCAAATACTCAAGAAATTAAATGCAATATTTATAACACACAAAAATTATCTAAATAAGAACATCTAAACAATAATAATCATAATAACAAATAAAACTACACATGTGATAAAAGCAACTACATAATTATTTTTCATGGATTTGGTTTGTGATGAAGGTTTAAGTTTTATAACACAGAAAACTAATTTTCAAAAATTAAAAACTAATTTTTTATTAAATCCGACAAATAGATCTTACAAAAACCAGAGTTGGGTTGTTTGTTTTTTTTGGTCTTTTTCTATTTTTTTTTTGAAATCGCAATAGATGTGTTTCAAATCAGGGTTATTGACATTATTAATTTAGAATATTAATTTTAATTTTAGATTTCATAAATATAAAAAAAAACTGTATTTTAGAAACAATCTTGTATTAAATTATTCTAAATATATTTTACTGGATGATAGTTTTAACATACTGACACATTCTAATACATATTTATCTTAATTAGTGCCTCTAAATTCCAGAACTCCGATAAAAGATTGATATCTCAGTCAGAAAACTATTTCTTCAAATAAAACTTTACAATCAAACTTTGGTATTCTTATCTTTTTGTCAATTTTAGCTTTCATAACTCAAACAGTAACACTTCAGAAATGTATTTAAAAATAATAAAAAAAAAACTGAAGGAAATCAAACACACGTAAAACACAAATTAATTTAACGACGACACCAAAAATTAAAAAATTAAAAAAATGCAAATTAATACGTTGCAACTGCTGCACCAATGGGAAGAGAGAACAGGACGAGAAAGTCCCACCCGACTTTCACGTTAAACTTTCGCTACAACATTCCCTTTTTCGTGGGGTACTTTAAAGCTTATATTCAACGACGGGGACTTTTTCCCCGGTTACGTTTTCGAAGGCGGGACTACTTTAAAGCGGAGCGTTGGGACGAGTGCGATTGCGGCAACGACGAGCCGTAGCAAAGCCCCGTCGCCGCAACGAAGACAAGAGAAGGAAGCATACAAGGAAGGAAGGAAGGCTGCGACGCGAACGAGGCAGGCAGCGAATCCCAGGCCGAGGGAGAGAGCGAGGAATCGCGAGGGGGATTCTCACCGTCGCACTGCTACGGACATCCCCAACTCACCCGCCCAACCTGGCCTGGATCTCATCCCTCCGTCCCTGCCTGCTCCAGGCTGCCAGGGCTCCTCCTCCTTCTCCTCCTTTTGCAATCCGGCGCTTCTGGGTTCTCATTCGTCCGCAGGCTCCATTGTGTTGCAACTCATTGCCCCACATCACATTGCGTGTTGGCCATGTCCTGGTTGCAGCTCTCGTGACCCTCACGCTCGCGAGCGGCACCGCTCGTCTTCTGCCTCTTGCTTGCTCTTGCTTGCTTTCTGAGGAACAGCCCCAGCTCCGGCACCAGCATAAGGTCGTGTAGGGAGAGAGAGAGAGGGGGAGAGAAGTAAGCTTGGAGTCATGGAGGGCGGGGGCTCCATAATCGCTCTTCCTCTGGGGCTTATGTTCCTCTTCTCCGGGTTCTTTATCAATATCCTGCAGGTGTCTGGCGGCGTTTTCTTTTTCGGGTGGTTTTCATGTTTTGTGTTCGATCGGGTCGTTTTTTATTTTTTATATTGAGGAAGTGAGTTCTGGGGGCGCTTGGGTATGGTTGTTGTGTGGAGGCGAAAGATAGAACTGATGCTCTCCTTGTGCTGTAGCTGCTGTCGGTGTTATTCATTTTGCCGTTTTCGAGGAGGGCGTACCGAGTAGTGAATATGATTATGATGGAGGTGCTGTGGTCGGAGCTTATATGGCTGCTGGATTGGTGGGCGAATGTGAAGGTAAGCAGATTGAGTGGCTCTCTTTCAATATCTCTTTTTGGTTTCCGTGCGTTTCGCCCGGTTACTGACGTTGCCTGTCTGTAATTTGAAGAGTATAGCACGGCCAACAAGCAATGATGGGAATTTTGTGGGGTTTGTCTGTTACAGGTGAAGGTTTACACGCCAAAGGAGTCGTGGGAGCACTTAGGTCAGTTGGTGAATTGTTGTGAAGTATTGATTTGCGATTTTGACTAATGTTTCAGTGTTTTGGAACTGCTCGGGATGCCTGATATCTGAAAAGTGGGCTTGGTTTCCTGTGTTCGTCAGGAAAGGAGCACGCATTACTCATTTGTAATCACCGCAGTGACATTGATTGGCTCGTAGGATGGATTATTGCCCAGGTTATTTGTTTCCCTTGTACCCGGTGAAAACCCTTGGCAATTGTGGGCTTTTAGGGATTCAATCGTCTAGGGGGTATGCGCTGATTATGTTTTGTTGGAACTGAATTGAGTATTTCTTGGGCGTTGCAGAGATTGGGGTGTCTAGGTGGGACTCGAGCTGTTATGAAGAAGTCCACCAAATTTCTTCCGGTCATTGGCTGGTCTATGTGGTTTTCAGAGTATGTGTTTTTATCAAGAGATTGGGCCAAAGATGAGAAGGTCTTGAAGGTGAGAATCGCACCCACGAATTTTTTGGATTGATTTTATTTTTATTTTTCGGGGTTTATTCGGTAGTCCGTAAGTAAGTTGCACTTCTGAAGTAGATTATTCTGGGTGTGTGTGTGCAGAATGGTTATTCAAGTCTTAAGGGCTTCCCCAGGACCTTGTGGGTGGCTCTTTTTGTGGAAGGCACTCGATTTACGAAGGCTAAACTTGAGGCTGCCCAAAAATTTGCAGCGGATACAGGGCTACGTGTTCCAAGGCATGTGCTTGTTCCTCGCACAAAAGTAAGTATGCACTTGATTCCTGACTTGGGTCACTTGTTTCTATAAGAGGGCCGAAACACATCGATTTTTTTAGAAAAATAAAATATAACAAGATAAAATACAATTCCCTCAAACATCGTTTTGATATGTGGTTCTTGGACGACGGAAGTTGTTCCGCAGAATCCTCCTGATTATTGTTACGAGTTTGAGATACAAAACCAGTTGTTAGTAGCCTGGATTGCACCTGAGTTTACAAATGCACTTTCAGGTGAAGGTATTGATGTTCGATCGAAACATGGTTTGCAATTAGTGATTTGTGCTGTGATGTTGGTTTTGAACAAACATTGTGGATTTGCAGGGGTTCGTTTCGGCTGTGGAGAACTTGCGTGAATTTGTTCCGGTAGTTTATGACATGACCGTTGCTATATCTAAAGAGCTGCCCAATCCTACAATGATCCGGATTTTCAGAGGGCAACCATCTGTGGTATAGCACAATCTGTATGTTAGAGCCCCATATTTATTCAATGTTTTTGGCTTGAGTCGAATCTAACTTCACGATCCGTTCTTGTCAAGTGTGGGACCGTTTTTTAGTGAGGAAATTGCTTATTCATTGGTTGCTTGAACAGGTTCATGTGCACGTGAGGCGGGTCCCTATGTCTGATCTGCCTGAGGGAGCCAACGCGATTTCTAAATGGTGTCACGATGCCTTTCACATCAAGGTTGCTCCTAGAATTCTTGACATGAACAACGTTCTTGTTCAGTATTTTTACCCACACATGTTGGCTAATCAAAGTAGCAATGCGATTTCATTGGACAGGACGATCGGCTGGAGCAGCACGAAAAAGAGAATACGTTTGGGGAGGACTTGTATATTCCTATTGAACGGCCACTTAAACCTCTTATTGTGAGTTGAAAATCTGCCACGAAGCAGACATGATTTAGACCGTGAAAAGTATTAAATATTCCACATTTTACTTCGATTCTCTTGCATTTTTTCCTTTCTACAGGCCAAGCAAGTTGTCGCACATTTCTTTTGTTTTATACATGCCGTTTGGTAAGAATTAGTGTTGGGTGTGGACGTGCAGATTGTGATCTCCTGGGCCATCACTTTGCTGGCTGCAGCATGGTGGTTTCTAAGACGAGTTTTATCCACTTGGAAAGGAATCGCCTGGGTGGCAGGAGTACTCGTGGTCGTCATGCTGTGTGTCCAGGTTCGTATTTCTAATGTAACTGGCATGTTTGCTCAGTTTTATCAATCGACCAAAGTTCGGAAGAAATCATTTGCTTCTACATCTAGATGTCAACATCTGCAGATGCAGATCTAGATGCCAATGTACCTGCAGTGTAATCTTCTCTCGTTGACCTCGTCATCTATATCGTCGGAGGGGTTTTTGAATGAACTCACTGGGTTTCTTGACAAATGAAGTGAATGCATTTCTCTTTATTATATTGGTTTTTGCTTACTGCTGCAGCTGTTGGCTGTTCTTGAATGAAACTGAATGATGCAATTGTAAGTTTGACGATGTGGACTTGGCTTTTGGTTGTTCCACCAGATTTTAGTGATGTCGTCACAATCGGAAAGAAGTTCAGATCCTGCAGCTAAGAAGGCCAATCAAAAACAGGCGGCTTCTGTTGCTCACCTCGGCAAAACGGACTGAGAACTTTTGCTTTAACGCAATCCAAGACTTAGGCGTGCTAGTCTCAGTTACAATTAGCATTCAGGCACTCCAGATGTGTCAAGAAATTTTAGTTACTCTAGCCAAGAATTGTTTGACACCTTGTAGTTCACCTAATTTCCTTGAACGATTAAGAGCAGCGGCCATTAGATGATTCGATTTGGTTTCTTGATAGTATCTGGTACCTTCTTCTTCAAGCATTGTGTATTCCGCTTCAGCCATTCCTTTTTTAAGATGTATTGCTTCTCGTTCGAGGGTAGGTCATTTCTGATCTAATTTTGAAAGCACTAATTCTGGCTGCTATTACACTATTCGACTGTACAATTATACTCCAGTTTCTATCTAAACGAAATACCTTTCAATTTCTGTGAGTTTGACATCCTTTTAGGGAGCTGTGTTCTGCTCTGACAGTAACTTTTCCTTACCATAAATTTAGAAATGAGATGTCAGAAACCATGCACACAAAAGTGTGCTGTTCATCATCCATCCTGTTAAATCTTTAACAATTTGGTTAGTTGTGCAAAGACTGGCTTTCAATAGTATTCAAATTTTTGTTATCAATTGCTAATTTTGCTTGCACTTCACTCTTACGTCTAGTTTCAACACAATTTCCTCCATTGTAATAGCCAAATATTTAAGGTGGTTCCATGGTTGCATTTTAGAGTTCCAAATATTTACATTGACTGCTTTTTGTTTTAGTTATTCATAGATGGGAAGTGTATGCACTGCATCTTAAATAAATTTATTGGAATTGTAGGGTTAGACATCTTGTGAATACATCCCCAACCATGCAATTCAACATAGTCTATGTGTAATAAGCAAATTCATTTGCATTCTTACTTAAGTGACATATTTTTTTTTTACAGATTTGAATCTAGATCTAGTCCAAATGCACATAAATAATACAATTAGAAATACTTTTGGTTTTTTTAAAGTCAAAATTAAAATTTGGGAAGAATAATGATAATTTAAGAATAAGTATTTTGAAGGGTATTCTCAAATACATTGTTGATTGAAATTTACAAAAAGAATGTTCATAAAAAATCCATGAAAGTTGGTATTAAAATATCAACATTTGCATGCAATAATTTATGTCAAAGTATAAATGTCTATATATATATATATATATATATATAATTCTTTTAAAGAGTATTTTTTGTTTTGTAATTCAGATGTTTAAAAGGGTTGCTTGCAAACAACTTATTACAGAGTATATACGACATTCTTAAATACTTATTTTTTTTGACATCTGTCATACTTTGCAAAGTTTTTGTTGTTTTACATGTTTTTAGATCACATTATCTTATGCAACTTTTAAGGTTGTAATATTTTTCAAAAATTTTCTCTTTTAATTTATTATAACTGATATTAAATAGATCTTAATATCATTATTTCATTCACAACCATGAGTTACAATTCAGAATAAATTAGGGTTATAAAAACATACTCTAAATTTAAAATACATAATGTAAGCATAGTGTCCTAAAAGGATCATTGTTAATTTTACAACTTTAAAAAGCCAATCAATTTTTACTAAAATAAGAATTTAAAGAGAATGTTTAGTTTTTATTTTATTTTAATATAACTTTAAAAGTCATATTTTTATACAAATCTTGTAGTTTTTAATATTATGATGTAATTTTTTTTTAGTTTTATAGGTTTTTTTGATTTATTAAAGAGATAGTTAGACATGTAAAAATTCTTGAACTATAAATTCTTAAACAATAAATTTTAATAGTAAGTTTTTTTTATCTTAAAATATTTATAAAAAGACATATTTAAACATATATATATATATATATATATATATACACACACATATATATATATATATATATATATATGTATACACACATATATATATATATATATATATATATATATGTATACACACATATATATATATATATATATATACACACACACATATATATATATATATATATATATACATATAATATTTTCTCCATTAATTAATATCATTTATATATGTATCCATCTATATAGTATTTCTTTTATTAATTAATATCATTTTTTATAGAAAATATTAATTATTAAAGATTATTAATCAGAAGAAGTGGCATGTTGAAGGCAAGATGGAAATCATCCTTGCTAAAGCTAATCATTGTTGGCCATATGGCCTTATCTCATCCAATCACATTTAGCCACGTTGTCTCTCTTAATCACCTCTATTAGTTGATAAAAAATGATGATAATCAATAAATTATTACAAATCAAAGATTATTATTTATACAGAATAGAACAAAGTTGGTTCTTTAAATTTTAATTAATTATTTGGAGTTATTGGTTTTGGGGATTAATCAATGAGAGAACACTATATATGAGCATTGAATACTCTTGTTTTTCTTTAAGAGTACCATATTAAAGCAAGTCATTGAATGTAATTAAGGTGTAGCTTTAGAGACCCTTGATTGAAGCAAAAGTTAGTCATTGTGTTTAATTGTAATTGTGTGTCTTTCTTTGTCTCTTTATCTTCCTATATATATATATATATATATATATTTTAATATTCAAATGATTCATAATAAATGACATTTGGAGTATACCTACAATATCCCTTATTATGATTAGATAATATATTGAAGTAGTGTTTGTTTTTAACTTGTATGACAAAATATTAGTTTTAGCAAGCAAAGTCCCAAAATTTAAAACACAAGTTATGAGATTTATTGATTTTAAAAGAAAAAACAAGCATTACTAGAAATTGTCTTGATTATAGTTTGAATAGAAGTATTGAATGTGTGGGTTCCAAATTGACTTATAAAATGACAACTTGTTTTCAAGTTTGAACATTGGTTGTAATTTTAGTAATAATTTCACATTATATAATTGCTTTTACATGATAACAGATTCTGTTACACAAACTACATGCCATGTTCTATAACACCATTGTGGAAGCTTTATTATAAAAAAATGAGGTGACAATCCATTAATGAAAAGAGCATTAATTGCCATGTTTGGAGTTCATTTTGACTGCAAAAATCATGAACAATGTGAGAAAAATACAACGGTAGGTTAAAAGTATATAACACAAGAAATGCCTACTGATAAATTCCAATACCATCAAAATATTCGTACATGAATCCAACAGGATTAGCGGAAAAGTTGATGAAATAGTGGTACACAGAAAACTAACATAAAACAATGCCGGCAGATGGGGTACTACAGTGAGTAGAGCTTCACATTGTGGCTAAGTGTGAAGCTATCGCAAAAAGCCAGACATCAGATTAGCACGATGGCACCACACTGCTTAGGCTTACATCATTCCGAGGCCATCTGCTAAATAAACTGAATAACATCAACAAGGGGCAGATGATGGAGCTATCAACCTGTAAATCCTTGGGCAACACTGGTGCTTTATGGAGTAGTCCATTGCCCGCTGCAGACGCTGTTTGTGCAGGTCCACCTTTTGCAATGGCAGAAGACTCAATGTAGTCCTTTGGAGTACAAGTCGTCATACAGGTCGTCATACAAGTCATTGTACCGTAGGGATTCGCCATCGATCTCTTTACACAAAGGATTTCAAACTTCAGAATCCAAAACAAAGCAATGCGACGAATAAGTAACGACAGAATTGGGGACTAGGTTGAGACGGACCGGAGTTCATGAGACCATTGGGAACAGCAGGCTGGTGATGGCGAGGGGGCCCAGTTGGAGATGGAGTCGACCGGCTTTAGGAAAGCTTGCTTGGCAGCCATGGCTTCGATTGCACACATCACAGAGCTTGGTAGATGGCAAAACCAGTGAACGCAACAAGGGTCATGCAAGGCTTGAGTTGGATAGAATCACGAGCCTAAAACCTTATTGCCGGTGAACAGAATCACGAGCACTTGTTCAAAAAAAAATATAAAAATTATTTAATTCAATAAATATTATAGTTATTATAGTTATTATCTATAATTTAAAATATTACTATTGCTGATGAAAAAAAAAATTAGAAGCCACAACACTTAGTATCAACAAGGTTGCCCACAAAGAAAAGTGTGGAATAAGATGACTTTCACTTCCAATACTTTTTAGTTATAGCTTAAATTTACATCTATTATAAATGAACTTCAACTACAATTACTTTCATTTTCTTTGCTAGATTCCACTAAATCCTAGATTCTTTTCAACCTAGCTGCTACTTAGAATCTTAACTACTATCATAATAATTTATTTTAATCTTTTTAATTATTATCAAATTATTATGGTTTAATTCTATGTGGTGGCAACTATGCAAGATCTTGCTGATATTTGATACTTTCACTTTGTTAATTGTCAAAAGGCTTTTAAGCCTAATACCTCTATCAACTTGTAGTATCTATTTTTTATCAATATTTTTATAAGCATATTAGCAAGCATGTCTTTTTTAGTACAATATTTCATGTCTATTATACCATCTTTAATTTTTTCTTATATGAAATGATATCGAACATCAATATACTTGATTTTTGAATGATACTTTGAATTTTTAGTAAATGTTAGACATCCTTGATTATCACATATTATTAGAATTGCTTTCAATTGTACTAATTCGATGTGACATATTATAGAAATTACTTTATCCAACATGCTTCTATTACACAATGATTTACTGCCATATACTTAGCCTCTATGAGTGATCTTGCAATGGTAGATTGTCTCTTACAATTCCATGAAATTACTCCCATTCTAATAAAGAATACATGTCTTATTGTAGATTTTCTATTATTTGCATCTGTAGTCCAATCTGCATCATAATAACCTTGCAAATCAATATTCTTACCACCAATGCATAATTTGAAGTCCTTTTTATCTTTTAAGTAACTCAATATTTTCTTTGTTATTATTCAATGCAAAGGTCTTACCTTAAATATGTATTTTTTTACAATAATCACACTAAATATAAGATCTATTTTTGTAGCTACAATTGCATACATAAATAAGCCTATTTTTATTTTATATGAAATACTTTACATCTCACCTTCAAGTTGAGCATATTCTTAATCTATGAGCTTCATCAACTTTAAATTGGCTTCTAAAGGTATTTTAATGGACTTGCACTCTTCTATATTGAATTGTTTCAATACTTCTTTAATATACTTATTTTAGCTCATTATAATGGTCTTGTTATTACAATCTCTTACAAACTCTATTCCTAAATAATAGTGGAGCTTTTCCAAATCACTCATTTTATATTCTTTTTCTAATATGGATTTCATCCAATCTATTTTTTTGATATTATTAGCCAAGATGATCAAATCATCAATCTAGAAGATTACAACTAGCAAGAATTCTTTAGATTACATGACGTATAATGAATGATCAGCCTTGCTCTTTACAAATTCCTTATTAATAAAAAATATGTAAATATATTGGTACCTTATTCTTGGTGATTGTTTCAATCCATACAAGGATTTTTTCAACTTGCATTTAAGATGTTCTTTGCTTTGTTTTATAAATCCTTGAGATTAGTCTATGTAGATGTTTTCTTGAAATTTTCTATTCAAAAATCTTAACTTCATATCTATTTGGTGCATTTTTAAATCCATTGCTGCCCCAATTGTCATAATAGTCCTAATGGTGGTGAATTTGGCAACATGTGTATAAGTCTCATTAAAGTCAATATTAGCAACTTGTGAATATCTTTTGACAATTAATCTTACTTTGTGCTTCACCACTATATCTATTGCATCTCTTTTAGTCTTAAATACCCACTTATAATCAATATTAGATCAATTTATTGGAAGAAGTGTTAATTTTCATGTACCACTTTTTATAAGAAATTGATACTCTTTTTTTATAGCCTTCTCCTACTTGATTGCATCTTGGGACTTTATAGCATTACACAAAGATAAAAGATCAACAAAAAAAACAACATTTGTATGTTCTTTACTTACTTGAAGAAAGATGTCGTTCTTCCAATATTCGCCACAAGGTCTTCTTTCTCTCAAAGGAAATATCATTTTATTTGAAGAAGGTTTATCTTATTGCACTCCATGCTCTCTTCCAAGCTTCTTCTCTTTTAAAGTTTATCTTTTCTTATATAAAAATTGATACTCTTCATCATCATCATCATCATTATAATCTTCAACATCTTTATTGCTAGTCTTAAAAATTTGTAAGGCCTTTTTTTTTCATCTTCTTTGCCTCTTCATCTTCATTCACACCTTTACCATATTCATTTTTTTCATCTTCTTTTTTCTTTATTGGAATTAGAAATGTGTCCATAAATATACTATTACTTTTACTTGGACACATTTTCAACTATTCACAAGCAATCTTATGCTTAAAACATTCAACATCATGATTTTTAATGATCTTTTTAGTGTCCAAACACATTAGCCTATATGCCTTAATACCTTCACAATATTCCTAGAAAACACACTTTATATCTTTTGCATCAAGTTTGGACCTCATATAATCTGGTGTCTTTGTATATACAATGCATTCAAATATTTTTATATGTGAAATGCAAGATTTTCTTCCACTCCAAGTTTCTTGTAATGTCATTGATATAAAAGTATTTATTGAATATCTATTTCTTGTATATACTGCATTCACTACAACTTCCACTCAAAACTCATAACTAAGAGTTTGAACATGAAGCATGTTTCTTGCTATCTCTACAATGGTTTGATTTTTTCTTTCAATAATACCATTTTGTTGTGGAATATATGGAGTTGTCATTTATTTAGCAATTCTTTCATTCTTCAAATAAAAATCAAATTACTTAGACATATATTCACCTTTATATTTCATACATATCAACTTGATCTTGCACTCACTTTGTTTTTCAATAAGTACTTTAAACTCCTTAAACTTCCAAAAGGACTCACTTTTGGCTTTAAGAATGTAGATCCAAATCTTTCTTGAAAAATCATCAATGAAAGTGATGAAATACCTCGCCCCTTCAATACTTCTAGTCTTCATAGGTCCATATATATCAGAATAGATGATTTCTAATAATTTTATAGAACATTTTTTTAGACCACTTCAAAATCATGTCTTTTGTTGTTTGCCTTATATGTATCCTTTATATACAAATTGTATTATATTTTGGTTTGTTTTGCCAAGATTTAAGCCACTTACCATAAACTTAAGCTTTATATGAGTCATCAAATTGACTCATTAGTTGTTTTGGAATAAAAAGATACATTTAAAGTACTTAGAACCACAATATATGGTAAATAGTATAAAAATCTTTTCAAAAAATATATATATAAATTATTTAATTCAATAAATATTATAGTTATTATAGTTTTTATCTATAATTTAAAATATTACTATTGCTGATGAAAAAAAATAATTAGAAGCCACAACACTTAGTATCAACAAGGGGACCCACACAGAAAAGTGTGGAATAAGATGACTTTCACTTCCAATACTTTTTAGTTATAGCTTAAATTTACATCTATTATAAATGATGTAAATTCATGCTGGTGAACAGAATCACGAGCACTTGTTCACCAGTCCATGTCTTTGCATCGTCGTCTCTTTCCACGTAGGAAGATCGGCATAGCCTGATCGATGTACATCGTTTGTTTTTATCTAGCCCTCCAGCCCCTACCCTCCCCTATTCAATTCAGCGTAAAATGATATGACTTGACATTTGATACACCTCACCTTGCCACCCAGTTCATGGATCGATTGGCACCTGCTCACCTCCTATTGCAGGTCGAAGGCTTTGCAATTAGAGACACGAAGCTTGCCTCTTACGACTCCTCCATGCATCCGATCATACGAACGGTGGAGCACCCCTGCTCGTCAATTGTACCTTCAAATTGGGTGATTCTGCAAGATGCGTTCGATGCTTCTGGACCATTTGGATGCACCATTCAAACTGGTGATCGAATGTGAATGATGCGGATGCACTCGGTAATTAAGGCTTTTGAAAGACAAGGTGGTCAAAAGTGATTTTCTTGTGCGTTTTGACGCTGATTCCGATTCGATGCTGCCTAAATAGTGAGTGCGATGGCAGCGAAAGAGGGTTTTAGTGCCACAACTGTTAAGGATTCTGCGTTTCGTGAAATCTTCGAGTGCAACATTTGCTTCCGTGAGGCCAGCGAGGCTGTGGTAACGTGCTGCGGCCATCTGTTCTGTTGGCCATGTCTCTACATGTGGCTGCACGTGCATTCTTCGCGGCAAAGCTGCCCGGTTTGCAAAGGCACAATCGAAGATGGAGACGTGACGCCAATTTACGGGCCTGCCAACTCAGCAGATGCATTGTGGGCGGAGGGAGCGTCAGCGGGGGAGCAAGGTGAGAGACTGATTCCACCAAGACCACCAGCCAGAAGAATGCACCGTGTGCAGCGAGCGCAACGATTAGACGAAATGTGGGGAGGAAGAGGAGTCAGAAGAGGCGAGAACCCACTTGAGCGCGACGCACTGCCATTCATGGAAGATCAACCTCCACGACCCGATGGCGACGTACAACAAATGCTGCAGCTTGTATCGAGCATCCCCTTGCCAGACGAAACTGGTCCACAATCGATCGTGGTGACCGATCCCGTGGCGGACGATTTCGAGGATACGAACCTGGTGATCCATTTTGAGACTGGGGGTAGTCGCCGGGGTGATAATATTCAGGGCAACATTCTCACCCACCTCGACCAACGCCAACGGAATGGCTTGAACTCCTTGCAAAACCTCCACGAGCCCAACGATGCTTGACAATTCTCCTCGTTCATGTGGCAAGATTTCACAAGCTTAAAATTATCAAATAGAAGATGTAAATCAAAAATAGAAACCAATTCTATAAAATGCGAACCAACTCCTTCACACGACTTTTTGCACATATTTTGCGAAATATCCAACAATGTTAAAAGAAATACCAATCTCAAAAGGAACCAATACATGAAATACATGGATAAAAAATGAAGATCATGTGAGAAAATGTAGAGCGAGCCCATTTAGAATACTTAACAGTTCTTTGACGGAGTGACTCCGACAAAACATTATACTCAAATCATAGTTTATCCATTTGCCACTTCTGTTGTAGATCTTATATGACAAGAGGCATTGGAAGCATAAGAAAAACCACCTGTGAAAATCACCCAAAAAGCTGGCAAACAAATACAAAAAGAAAATCACAGAAAACCTCGCACAGATTTCATTCCAAAAGTTCCACAAGAAGGATGGCAAAACAGAGGAGCCCAGAAAAAGCATCAGTTGTGATGGTTAGAATCAGCCAAGGACTCTGGAAATCTGGTTCACTGATCAAAAGAACGCTACGCAATCTGCGAAAATTGGGCAAAATGGGCACAGTAGCACTACGGGTATGAACATGGAGATCTTATCTTCAAGCTCATGGTTCGATCAACATTCACCGTCCCAAAGGTCTTCAGCGGACCTGTAAGGGCTGGTGGTGTCATTGCACCAGAGGGGCACTGGCATCCTCTTCTGGGCTACTTCAGAGAATCGTTCCAAATCTTCCTCTGGCAGATCCGAGTCCCATACTGCGTAATTCTCCACTATTCGGTCCGGGTTGCTGCTTCTCACTGTCATGCACACCCCTTGCTGCAACCCCCATCTTATGACGATCTGCATACGCCCAGCAAGAAGGCATTCAGCGTTTTGTTGGACTATGTACATGCTGTAGAATCGCCGAAAAAAGGAATGCTAGCTAACGGAGAGCGCTGTGCATGGAGGAAGGGGTTATTTATTTATTTTTTGCCTACGCAGGAGTTTTCTTGTGTTTCGCAGCCAATTCTGTGACGACTGGAAGAGAAAAAATGTCGTTGCGGCCGTAGAATGTGCCAGGAGCACCGAGCGCTGAAAACCCACTCACGAGTATCCCGCGTGGTTTGCAAAATGCGCGGAGTATCTGCTGCTGCCAACCTGGATGCATCTCTACCTGGAAGCCAACGATGAGCAAGCAAAGATAAGGAAAATTTGGGGGCCAGGGTTAGACTGTGGTTGGTGAGCGGTCATTTGACAAGCGTCATAGACATATGCAAGATTTAGGTTTATAAGCAAGAAATTGACTGTAAGAGGGCACGTATGGTCTCGACTGTACCTGATCACAAGCTGGCTTGACAACGGCATAATCAATCACGCTTTGCAGCTTCTTGGTAGAGAAGTTGGAGACACCAATGGCCCTCGCTAAGCCTGCTTGGACTGTCTTTTCCATCGCCTGCCAAGTGCTTTTAATGTCTGAGGGAAGGAAGTGTTCTGCGCTTGGTAACATTGGTGTCCCTTTCTTGAACTTCAATGGCCAGTGAATGAGGGAGAGATCCACATACTCCAACTGCAAGTCCCTGTTGCACAGCACGCACAGGTGTGTCTCATATATCTTATACCATCATTAACACTGGACCCTGGGTCAGAGCAGTATTTCAGGGCCTTACTTGAGACTTTTCTGCGAGCAAGGAAGAACATCCTCAGGTTCTTGTTCAGTACAGGGAAGCTTTGATGTCACGAAGAGCTCATCACGTGTTAAAAGCCCTTGAGACAATGCTTTCGCGATCGCCTTGCCAACTTCCGGTTCTTTCCCGTAAACAGGAGCGCAGTCGACGTGTTTATATCCTGCCTGCCATACAAAAAGTTTCCGCACAAAGATCAGGAAGCTGTGTTATGTTTGCTATTCCTATGATTTTGTGATTGAGCCCATTGTGAATTTGGACTTCAAATTGATGCGAACGGCTTGCTACGGACAATGTGCTCCACTGATTTTACATCTAGCTCACATTTTGAAAAGTAATGCAAGCTCTGACACGCAGTTAAAATGGAATTCTATCTCATTTGCGACATGTTTGCAACTAACCTGAAAGACATAACTAGATAGTTGACCTAATTGGTGAGAAGTATTGAAACGAGGAGATTAAGGTAGATGTCACAATACCTGGAGACGCTGGCTTCGGTGAGCTCCGGAGCAATTCCCGAAGTGCCAAAGGCTAAAGCGGGTACTGTAGCCCCTCCTTCAAGACTCAAAGTCTGCGCCATTGATCTCCACGTCCAGCCCGTCCCTCCTCGCCACTTTACTTCCGAACGCCTACCCACCTCTCGATGTTGTACAGAAAACAATGCTCTTCTTCAGATTCAGGTTCAGGGTACCCACATGCGCTGAATTACAAAATTCCTCAGTAACGATCACTGGCTGTGATGGCGTTGCAGGAGAATCGTCAAACCCACCGACTTCGTCTTCTCCGGGTATCACCGGTTCATGGATTCAGGGTTTTAGAGGAATTCCTTAGACGAGCTGATTTCACCATCCCATGGTGACGAGGTTCTGCTCGATCCTTGCAACTACTCTGAAGTGGTTTCTACATTGCTTGAGCGTGGCAGTTCCGCAATGGTTCCTTCGAGTGTGTGGCTTCTTTAGTGAGGCATATGTCAATGTGGAGAGGGTTGTTGTTGTCGTAGTTTCTGAGGAGAGAGTTTACTAAACAAAATCAGACCGTAATTTGGGTACAGATTTCTGGGATGTGTTGTACGTGTATTTTTATCCTAGACGTCTCCTTCATAATCTTGTAGAACCACCAGCCGTCAATGCCTCACAGTACTTTGCAGATAACTCTGTGTAGGAGGCGTGACCCTAAGGAATCCAGCGTGTAATGCACGGCGTCTGAGCCTCGGGTGTGAAGCGAGGCTGCGACGTCTGGCGGAGATTAGAACGATCAAACTGCATGTGGAGTTGGTAATGTGGCATGTCCCGTGAACTGGACAACAGAAAGTTGAGGGGAGTGCGCCTTTGTAGTGGACATTGTGTTCGAGAAATGATGGCAGGGAAGGCGATCATCGTAATGGGTACCTCCGGTGCTGGAAAATCGTAAGTACATTTTCTTGCCGCTTCTAATAATGTGACTTTCTTCAGCTGCACTCTTGAATTGGATTAACGTAGACTTTCAACTTGAGCTAGGGTTAAGAGTCCGAGGCTTCAGTTCTAAAATATGGTGATTGTTTTGAATGTGTGCATGTCTTGGACAGAACGGTAGGGAGACTCCTTGCAGCAGAGCTACGTTGCGAGTTCCTCGATGCGGACAACTTTCATTCTGCTCAAAATAAAGGTGCATTTTCTCAGTGGTTGGTCCCACTTGTTTTGCATATAACATGTTGCTCCTTTTGCAAGCGCTATCCTTGCGCAAGAGTCGACTACATCTCGGATCCGGCATGCGTCTTTGTCATTCCAGGATTTGGGCATCTTCACCATCATCGTAGTTTCTGCTCAAGAATCAGTTCACTGATTTGGATTCCGAATCGCAGAGAAGATGAGTCGTGGCGTCGCGCTCACGGACGAGGACCGAATGCCGTGGTTGGAAACACTTCGTGACACGTTGATAGACTACATTATTCGGGGCCAATGTGTTGTGTTGGCATGTTCTGCTCTTCAGCCCCACTACAGAGATCTCCTACGCACAGCGGATTACGAGTTCCTGCTCAATGAAACAACACCAGAACCAGTTAGCACCCCAACAAGCAACGATATCAATCACCAACATCGACGGCAAGGAAAAAGCTTGAGCTCACTTGTGGTGTTCGTATATCTCAAAGCCACAGTCGGTGTTCTATCAGCAAGATTAGCTGTGAGGGATATCGCAGGTACCCATTACGCTCATGCATCGCTTCTACAATCCCAGATTGATGCTCTCCAGTTTGAAGCTGATGAAAGAGACATCATGGACGTGGATGCAGCCTTGCCTCCTGCACAGATTGTGCGAAACATTCAGAAGCAGCTCCAAGTGTGACGTCGTGGACCCACATCGAGTAAGTTTTCTAGGAACTGCTGCATGCCTTGGAATCATACTTTGTCTGCTTCACGAATTTGTTTACATCATCTCAACGAAGGTCGATTTGTGATCACTTTGCACTTTTCTCGTCTTTGAACCATAAGGAAAATGTTTCTGGCAATGTTATGCGTCTATAATTGACTTTACTGCCTGACTGGTATTAACTGTAATTAAAAATGACTTCAAACAAAGATTCTTCAAACTTTCTGCACACACAATCAATCAATAAATCAATCAACTATGTGTATGTGTATGTGTATATATATATATATTTATATATAGCTGGCTGTTTTATGAATTTTCTTTTTTATTCTTTTCAATTTGTGAGTTTCAAAGTGAACAGCTTTTTAGTAAAAAAAATGAATGCATTTATTTAGAACTGCTTCAGTCTAGTTACCATTCAGGTTTTTTTATGTATATTATTAAAATGAATATGATAAATCTGTCTGGTGTTGAATATGTGTTGTACTTTTAAGCCTTAAAAAGATTTGTGTGTCATTTTCTGGAGCATAAGTGGAAGTTGAGGAAAGCTTTATAGATGTTTGTTTGTCAAATAGATGATAATTAAGTTTTCAAGTATAATGTTTGGATTAGAAATTATTCCCATATATTAGGAATTATTGCCATATATCTGTTGATGGAAGTTGATGGATGTAAGACATAAGATTCATTGATATTTCACTAGTTGAAGTTATGTTGTTAGGATGTTCTTTTATAATGTACCAAAAAATATATGTTCATTTGTTTAAAAAAATTCTAAAAGTTTTTAATTTAAATTGTTGTCATTTGTTTAAAATTTCAACTTCTTTTGGTTTTTATAGGATTTAAAATAGGTTGTAATTGACAACTATTATATATAATCATTAGAATTTTTTTTCCAAAAAACATCAGATTTTAATATTATTTATTAAAATATATAATTTTTTTGTTACAAGCCAATCTTTGTATATTTCTTTAATATTATAGAGATTTTTTTGTATAAAAAATATTAAATTCTATTAATATGTTTTTATTTTATATATTTTATTCTAATTATATATTGATCATTAAAAAGTAAAATCTTGTATTATTGCTATTATATAGAGTTAAATCATAGTAAGTTATTAATAGTCAAAAGATAGTAAAAGATTAAAACAAATTATTATGCTAGCGACTAAGATTTTAGGTGGTGGTTAGATTAAGAAGAATCTAAGATTTAGTGGAATATAGCAAAGAAAGATGAAAATAATTGTAGATGAAATTCATTTATAATAGATGTAAATTATAGCTATAAGTAAAGAATGTTAGAAGTAAGAACCATCTTACTTCATACTTCTTTTTATAGATAACTTTACTCATGCTAAGTATTGTAGCTTCTATTTTCTCTTTTTTCATCAAGTTATGGATCCACTCACATTTTCTTGTGAGTTTTGAAGTTATATGAAGTTTTCTTTGTTTTATAGAATAGATCATATTGTTTTTGTCGGTATTAAGGTTTAGAATCTCCTAACTTTTAGATTCAAATCTAGATCTAGATCTTAATTTGTTCTTACTTATTGTTAAGTGCATTTTAGATTTGGGATATATTTTACACCTTAAGATAATATTATAAAATACTTGTATTATGTTTTTTTATTGAATTAGATCTTTAATGGACTAACTTTGTAGTTTCATGTATTGAAAAACTTTAAAGTACTTAAAAGACCTCTTATGGTACTTAGAGGTGATTTGTAAGTATTAAAGTAATGTAAAAGTGGCAAATTTGATTTGAAAATTTTAGATAGTTTATTGAATTTGTGGAAAGTACTAAAACTTAAGTTAAGAATGTTTTGAAAGTGAAAACAATAGTTCATTCACAAAGAAGGCATTCTAAGATTATAAGGTAATAACACCTTCTTATTAATTTTAAGAGCTTTAGAACTATTTTTTTTGATTTTTTTTTTTGGTACATATCTCCCTTAGATATGGCTTCAAGTGAGAGTAAAGGCTTGAGAATAATTGAAAAAGTTGAAGTGAGAATTTTTATCATTGAAAGGAAAAAATGGAGCTTCTATTGGCTTCTTTGGATCTTTGAAATATTGCAAATGAAAGTGAAGAACCTTCAAGCATGCATGTTGATATAAATGAAAAAGAAGGACTACAAACATTGTGAAAAGAAGGCTTTTGGATTGATTGCATGTAATGTTGATAAAGCTAATATCTCCCATATTATTTTTTGTAAAGGTCTAGCAAAGGTATCAAAGATTTTTTGTAATATCTATGAGAGCACGAACTTATTCAACATTATCTATACAAAGAGGAAGTACTTTATTTGCAAGATGGAAGAACGTGGAGACCTCATGGCATACATCAATAAGATGAAGGTACTTATAAACTAGCTTACAATTATAGACAAGCCCTTAGATGATGTAGATGTTGTCATGATTGTACTGATGAGCTTGTAAAAATCCTACAACTACTTAATTATGGCTTTGGAATCCATCAAGATGAAGAACTTAGAATGGACTACGTGATAGCAAGACTTGGCCATGAAGTGACCAAGAAGAAAGAAAAAAAACATCAAAGTGAAGATTTAGCACTCTATTCATGACAAGGCAAGAACAAATATTCAAACCAATGAGGTAATGTCAAAATTTGCTTCATTTGTGACAAAATAGGACATTTTGCTCAAAATTTCTACAAAGGTAAAAAGATAGAAAAAAAAATACAAAGAGGCTATAAGATGAGTTTGGAAAATAAGATTATAAATTCACAGTAGCAAATAGTATCTTCATAGCTGTTATGTTAAGATAGATTGTAGACTTAGGTTGTTTCAAATATATGATATTTTATAAGTATTTATTTGACACTTATGAGGTTATTTCAATATCAAATGTGATTTTTGGAGATAGTGGCACATATAAAGCCATTGGAATTGATTCTATTATTATAGAAATAATTATAAATAGATAAACTAATAGAATTAGATTCAAAAACGACTTCTATGTACCTAAGATGAAGCAAAACCTATTTTGATGAGTAAACTTGTAGTGAAAGATTTTATAGTTCAATTCAATATAAATGGATGTTTTGTAAGAATATTGTATGGAAATATAGTTATTAAAGGCTCTAGAGAAGAGAATTTGTACTATCTCAAGTGTAAGAAGGTCAATGAAGTAGAGGCAGTTGCATTTGCTAAGATTATATCAAACCAAGATAAGTTGAAAATATGGTATTGTCACCTTGACTATTTCAACATAAAGAGCATAGCAAAGTATCAGTGTAAAATTCACTCGTCAACTCAATTATAAGATGGCATCAATTAAGAGTTGATTGTAATTTGTGGTATGAAGTGGAAGTAGTAAGAACAAGAATAAAAGAAGCAAAACACAAAAACAAGTGAAATAAGTGCAATCAAGCAATTATATAGTATAAAACTAATCACAATTTTTTTATTGAGTTTTACATAATAAAAAATAAATAAAAATAAAAATATTTTTAAAAAGATATATTTTTTTTCTTTTCAATGGTATAAAAAACATATAAATCCAAGTTACTATGAGTAAGTTATGAAGATTTAAAAATAACAAGTAAATAAATAAAAATTTAAATAAATAATTTTTACCTCAAAGATAACTTGTTTAAGAGATTAAAACTTTGAGCCTCACCAAGACTTAAAGTAGTATATATGGATGCTAAAAGAGGCCACGAGGTCTTAGTCTTATCCTCCTAACTATCTTCAAGGTGCTACAATCCATATGGGACTTATGCACCTCTTTTCTTACAAGAACTACACTAGCTATTGGTCCTCCTATCTTCCACTAATAAAACAAATAATTCTATATTTTCGAATTTATTATGGTATTTAAAAACATCCAATTAGCCTAGGAATCTATTATAGCCTTCAAATCTTACTCCATTTATTCATAATGGCTTTTAAAGTGGTAAAACTCATTTTTACCAAAGTCTTAAAAATTGCTCTAAAAATTCCTAAAAAATTCTAAATAAATTCTAAATATATTATGAAATTTTTTTATAATATTTTTATAATATTAAAATCAATTTTAAGTAATATTTTTTTACCGTGATGATTTTTCATAGTAATAAAATTAATTTAAGTCTACTATAAATCCTATTTTTTATATAACTAATTAAAAAGATATGAAGTACATTCTCATACTTCTCCTAATTACTAACTAATATTTATAGTTTTTTCATAAATTATATGTATAAATAGAAGGCCAATATAAATATTTATCTTAATAAATAATCTTTAATGTTCAATAATAAGTAAAAAATACTAAACCAACAACGATAATTACCTCTAAGACTTATTAAGATTCCAATCTATAACTAACATTCTAATTTTCTATTTGTCTTAAGATTTTATACTATATACCATATATTGTGGTTCTAAGTACTTTAAATGTATCTTTTTATTCCAAAACAACTAATGAGTCAATTTGATGACTCATATAAAGCTTAAGTTTATGGTAAGTGGCTTAAATCTTGGCAAAACAAACCAAAATATAATACAATTTGTATATAAAGGATACATATAAGGCAAACAACAAAAGACATGATTTTGAAGTGGTCTAAAAAAATGTTCTATAAAATTATTAGAAATCATCTATTCTGATATATATGGACCTATGAAGACTAGAAGTATTGAAGGGGCGAGGTATTTCATCACTTTCATTGATGATTTTTCAAGAAAGATTTGGATCTACATTCTTAAAGCCAAAAGTGAGTCCTTTTGGAAGTTTAAGGAGTTTAAAGTACTTATTGAAAAACAAAGTGAGTGCAAGATCAAGTTGATATGTATGAAATATAAAGGTGAATATATGTCTAAGTAATTTGATTTTTATTTGAAGAATGAAAGAATTGCTAAATAAATGACAACTCCATATATTCCACAACAAAATGGTATTATTGAAAGAAAAAATCAAACCATTGTAGAGATAGCAAGAAACATGCTTCATGTTCAAACTCTTAGTTATGAGTTTTGAGTGGAAGTTGTAGTGAATGCAGTATATACAAGAAATAGATATTCAATAAATACTTTTATATCAATGACATTACAAGAAACTTGGAGTGGAAGAAAATCTTGCATTT